CAAACATGGATGGTCGTGGAGGTAAGTTTGATTTGAGACGAGTTAAAATATTTTTTTTTGTAAATGAACAGTTGTCCTAATGCTTGCAGCGTTAGTGTCTATAGATGCTAATAAAAATAGGTCTCTGAAAAACTTGCAAATATTGTATGATACATAAAGCTCGATGAATTCTAGGGTAACGTATCGTACTTTGATAAATCATTCAGAATACGGAAGTTGTGGTGTGCTCCAGTTTGCAGCTCCGTGTGACCATGGATTATTTTTCACGATTCACAGTCAATTCGTACCACTTCACATTCGTCCAACAAGTTGATTTGTCCCAATTAATTTTCGTTCCTATACACTTTCGTGCCATTTACATACAAGACAGTCATTCTTGGAAAGCATGTCATTTTAATAAAACAGTACATCACTGTGTTCACTCATAGACCCTCTAGAGGGTCTATGGTTCACTGGATTACCCTGAAGTCAGAAATAAACAACCGTTTTTCCGAACATTAATTAATTACTTGATTTGATGATGGATGGGTTAACGTATTTCAAAGCGTGATTAATAAATGGCTAGGGTTCATTCATCATGATGCTGTCGTATATGCACAGTGAGTGACCATGATTTGATACTGTTTGTTGTTTGGATCTTGTTGTGCATATTGGATGAGATAGTATCTGGCTAACCTAATAAATCAAAACAACTTTGGGACAGATAATTATATTCAGCTGCCTACTCAAAACTCAAGACACAATTCACAATTCACAGGATGCGCATGTGTACATCAGCAATAACCTAACCTCAATTTTTCTTATATAATATTTTAATCAAATTTCACTAATAAATCACCAAATGTACCAAAGTTTTGGCCACGATTTGAACCCTGCAAAATTTGGCCACACCCTACACATTTTATTTATATTTATTAATAACTCGTACATTGCAAGCACAGTGTATTTATTTAACTACCGGTAATAACTTGTACATTGTATGTATGGCTTAGATTTATATTGCTCTGTATAGTCACAACAGTGTAGCATTATGAAAACAGACAACTTAGCCATAGACAAAAATTAATTAGTCCAAAATTATGTGGCGTCAGGGGAAGTTAAATTATCACAAAATATAACAAATCATCTCCATAAAATTTAATAGCACCAATACGAAAGTCCCTCCCTATATTGCAATTTTCGTAGGGACTTTGCTAGGGAGTTTGCTAACTCCCCCATACTTTTCATTTCATTTTGCAGTATTTCGCTGAGCTTTACAGCAAGCGCAAGATATTTACATACACCTAACTCTCGCAAATGGTAGGTATTTACCGAGTGACTTTGCAACATCCCCAGACACTTCCCTAGATGATCCAGTGACCATTGTAGACGCACTAAAGTTTTATACACGCTTATGTGACAGTTAATCAAAACAACAGACCAGGGTTTCAGATGGGTTCAACTATTACAACAAGTAAGCGTCCAGTGAAACATTCATCAAACAATCATGTTTTACTTATTGTTGATATCGGACACTTTATTATTTTATGCATACATTCATTTTATAAATTCTATTTTGAACGCGAAAATAATAAACCTAGTTGATACAAATATTTAAATACGCCCCTAACACACCTACGTGTGAACAGTTCAGTTTTGAATGCAGTTTCTCATTTTCAAAAATTATTGGTATTATCTCAAGGCGTTTAGACGAAGACACTGAGATGGAGATTATTCACCTCTTGCGAATGATTGGAGACGGAAGAAGTTGGACTAGTGAGGGATTGTGTAGCATTTCTGTCGCATCAGTTGGATACGCTCTGAGAGGAGTAACAGCAATCGTCGACTGAATGTTACACAAGAAATTGTTGAGTTTATCAAATTTTGTATGAGATCTGAAGGATATTTGAAACTGGTATACAGTGATGGTGTGGGGGTGAAACTAAGTAGAAGATTCCAGTGAATGATTTACTGGGTAATGAGTGTTCTGGCAAACTGGCAATGGGACCAGCCATTATGCGAAAAATTGAACGGGACACTCACAACGCTAATATTATTATTATAAATCCATTGAAAACATCTCAACAAACTACCAATCAAAAGCATTTACATTTATCATTTCTTGTTAATATTCGTTCCTAGTTTTATGTTCGTATTATATTTCTCCCAAGTGTTACACAGCAATGATTTTTGTACCTACAAAGCAATGAAATATTTCAACTACCCCTCCTTCCTCGTGGCCACACATCAAAGGCATACCGTGTCCGGTGTTTTGCTTAACTGTAACGTGAGCTTGTATGTAACTTTATTGCGTCTACAACGGTCATTGGAGTGTCTAGGAAAATTCCTGGGGATGTTGCAAAGTTCCTCTGTAATTGTCTACCGGGTGCGGAAGTTAGGTGTATGTAAATATCTTGCGCCCACTGTAAGAATAAATAAATCACCAGCAAGCATATTCCAGTGATGCCTGGGATATGAGGTTTATCAATTTTTATTTTTCAACAGATAAAAGAAAAGAAAGGCAGAGTCGTTCAATCTCATCGTATAAAAATTCTTCTAGTCGTAGTTCTTCCAGTAGTTCATCAGAAGACAGGAGGTTCAAAGAATCTCGTCATGATAGGAAGAAACACAAGCAGCGTAGTCTTTCTTCTGACAGTAGAGAAAAACACAATAAAAGACGCAGGAGATCAAGAAGTTCTTCTACCTCTACTTCAGATTCATCATCAAGTCCAAGTGCGTACAGCCACCCTTGTCACCTGACACAAAGTAGTCTCATCTTTTTTTTTTCCTCAGAAGATACAAGTTATGTCAAACTGTATTTTGCTGATAAAAAAAATAACAATGTCTGAAATTACAAATTTGAATAGTTGGTAAGGTCAGGTTGTCATAGTTACAAATCATGTTCCACAGCATGTCCAGCAAAACATATTTTTTGTTATTCAAATTGTAATTAATAATATTAATTGGCAATTTGATAACTGGTATTCTTTAGGTATTAACGATGAATGGTTCTGAATATTAATGATGCCCTGAACTACTTTATTACTTAACAAGTGGCAAACATGTAATATGAAAACACTACCCTTCTCCACCACAACCACCATAATTAGACGCCATCTTGGATAACAGTAAATGTAATACTATGATGCCAATTCTAAAGACAGTTACCTTTATTGTAGGTCCAAAGAGAAAGAAGAAGAAAAAACATAAAAAGAAAAAACATAAGGTAGAATTTACTGCATGTTTTGCCTTCTTTTTTAGCCTGAAATTGGAAAAGTGAAAAGTACGGTATTACAAATGAGCATGACCTTTCCATGCCTCTGTATCCACCAAGATTAAAGATGTACTTTAATACATAATTATGCAAATGATGGTGGTTTGTCTGGGGAAACTGACAAAACTCCTAGAAGGTCAATGGTGACAACAAATGACTCATTTAATGATCAGACCTGAAGAAAAAAAAGCTTTCCAACTTTAGATATCTCAAGTAAAAATGTGGAAGTACTGGTATGATGCAAACCATTAAATCAAGTATACTTATCTTCAGTCTGGACATGGAACTATAAACAACTACTGTAAAATACTTTATTTTAGCTGGATTTAATTTTCGCTGAAAAGACTTTTTGGGTGTTTCGCGGAGAATTTTTTTTTCACTTATTTTTGACAAGCTGAATGTAAAATATAGGAAAAAGGGTATATTCGCTGGATTTTATTTTCACTGAATCATTCCTTCAGCGAAAATTAATTTTAAGTGAAAATATGGCCTGGGATAATTAGTTACAAGTTAAGAACACTTCAACTTATTATTGAAATCAAGGATTCATTTGAGGTCTGAAGAGAGAATATACCATGTTAAGTGGCCCTAGAAAATCTACTGAATAAACCGACAACTACATTCACTATGGGTGGTTTAAAAACTATTCAGAAATATAGCTAAGAATTCAATAACTATTTGACAAGTACAATGCCATAATAAAAGAGCAGAAGAAAAGAGCAATGTGATTACACCAACTAAAGCAATAGCTTAATAAATAAAAATTGTTTATGACACCTTTGCTACAGCATAGAAGAATGTTATATGAGAGATCATAGAGAAGAACAAAAACAAACTGTAATGATCAATATTGAGATGCCTTGTCATCCCCCACTACACCAAGTTGATTATTTATGTTTCTGTTCCCTTTGACTGACAATGACGTATGTAAAGCTTCATTGAGGCATGCATGTAGAATATTACCAGATACAATATAAATCCTCCTTTGCTGTTCTGGTCATCTTTGCAACCAGATGAAGTGGTATTCTATTCAAACCAGTAAAGGCTTCTTTATTGCAACCCTTTTTCTCACAAGTATAAGGGTTTCAATAAAGAAGCCATTACTAGTTTGAATACTGCGATGCCATGGAAGATTGGTTAATGCAGAACTTACAAAAAGAGCAAGACATCAGATATGACCTTGAGTCTCATAAACGTGATATTGTAAGTAGTAGGCCAAGAATAATATGAATAATATATGGTTTCCAACGTAAGGAATGTCAACTGTATGAATTGTGAATGGATGGGGTCCAATTCAAGACACCATCAAGGCTTCTACTTTCCAGAAAGAATTGGAACCTACTCTCCATCTGAGAGGCGGATTTTACCAAGTATGGGTCTTTTTTTGTCAGACTGACTTCATTTGAAAATGTTTTATGATACGTCAGCTGAACAGTTTTACTTTTGATATTTCATTGCTTGCCAAGGAACTTCTCTTAACATCAACAGGTAACTTTAGAAACTGCCATGTAATTCAAACTGGCTAAGAATACACCAGATGAATCATTATGTTAAGAGCAGTATGGTTAATATAGTGGCAGGTTATCGTTCCACTAACATCATGTATTCTGAGGATCTAAGGAAGACTTGTTGGCCTGGACAATATATTGCTTTGAATGACAATTGGAAAGGTCGATTGTAACTTGAGCAGCTGTCAAAGCAGAAGTTCTAATTGTGATGAATACTCGATTATTAGGTTATATATAAGAGATGCTATAAACACCAGCAAACATTCTAATGTTAAATCCCGTGATTGAAATTTGTGATCTTGATGGTCATTTTCAGCTGACAAATTTTACTGCACTATTAAGTATGGTAATTTGAAAAGAGGACCAAAGGCATCGAAATGACCGCACAAACTCTTAAACATGAATCATCCGACTGGATCCTACTGATTGAAGATAGGTGAAGTATGGTAGATCTGATGTTACTATGGTAACATGATGATTACCTCAAACATCCTTATAATATCACAAATTGATTACAGTTTTTTTTGTCTCACTACTTCTCATTAGAAAGAAAAAAAGAAAGAAAAGAGCAAGGAAGCAGGGCAGACTAGTGGACCAGTTCAGCTATCAAAGGTAGGCCAATCATTTCTTACTGTTATTAAAATTAATTTTTATTCCACAGCTATGATGTTAAAAAGTAGTGTTATTTTATTCTAAATTGAAATGTGCATTGCTAACAGCGCAGCTATCTCGGCCGAGGGGCTGCTTGTTTTTAATTTGAATCAAAGATCATGATTTAATGTTTAATTTTAAATTTTAAAATATTCCTTTCGGGGCATCAGAAACCAAAAAGATAAATGTCTATAGATGGGCGTTTCACAGACGCTTTAACTTTCATCATGTCGTAAGCAGTTTCTCAAGCATGCCTGGACAGATTTCAATCAAACTTTGTATGGGGATTACTGGTGCACATCTGTTTATTTTCAAATTGTTATTTCATTTCAAATGGCTTACTGTTGGCCATGTTGGTTTTATTTTCAGGTGTCCTTAATCATTTGCCAGACATGCTAGTATAAACAACATGCAGGATTTGTTTTCTTATTTTATTTTAAAGTGTCAACTGGACTATACACTTTTGTGCAACATAAGAATGATCTTATTCCTAAGAGGTGTCACTTCGATCGAACAAAACCTGGATGATGTGCCACCAAAAAACAGTCACTGAAAACTGAACAGGGACTATACCATTGACAAAGACATGTTTTATCAGTTTTCCAGGACTATTTCATCTTCACTATTGGTCATTTTCTTTATTTTTAGTCCCTGTTTCAGGCGCAGCCTGAAAGGCGGACTATTAATTCTTATTTCCAGTTTCCGTCTGTGACGTCTCTAACATTTTCTCATAAATTCTGAAGCAGATATCGATGTAACTTGGCAGGTTGATGAACAAGTCTCTGCCGAATATGCACGTAATTTTTGTTTCCAGATCTGAAAATCCTAAGTGGGTCTTTTTCATGATTTTCATCCAAAACTACCTCTCCCAACATCACTGAGAGAACAACTGAGCATGCTCAGAATAAATAATTTGCTTAGATTGTAATGCTAGGGTTTTTCGCGATGTCATGACCTGGTCATGACCTTGATCTGAATCAGTGACAGATGGGTCGTACCATTACCAATCTCAGTGGAAAATGTTGAGGGGTGTCAGGGCTACATTTTGATGGGAATTATAGTGGTGATAATGAAACAAACCCAGGTCCTGGTAATATACAAAGACCTGGATTAACAAAGAAGTCAAGTTGTTATTAAAGGTACATCAAGGTTTACTCAGATTTATGAATGTAGTTTCTTGAGCATGTATGAGACATAGTTTGGTTGCACTAGATTTTGGACCAGGGTCAATGAAAGTTTTCAGTTATCAGATTAAGGGAAATCACTTTTGATGAGTTGTACCCACATAAAATACATATTTAATTCAAATGTTTGCAGATGTTCCATGTATTATTTTAACATGAGTATTTTTTAATTAAATAACAGGGACTGTGACATTCATGTATTATTTTTTTTTCACGTGAGAATTATAGCAGCGTGTAATGAAATATCTTGATTTGACACTGATTATCCAAACGATTCATTTCTTTATATTTTAATTGTGATTTCAACTGACAATGGCTTCTTGTGGTGATCTCTCACTTTTCAGGACCCCCC